CCCTATCTGTAGCTCAGAGGACTAAGTAGACAAAGAGAGGGCGTGCAGGCGAATTCAGCGAGGATGCCAAGTCATCCCCGCCCTCATGGGCACTATTTCTCCCAAGGATTGTGCAAGAAGGGCACACACAGGGCAGAGTCTGGGCGGCAGGTGGTCACTGCGTTGCCCACGTCCCAGGGTGCTCGCTGCTAGAACGGAGGGCCAGGGAGGGTGGCTGGCCCGGGGCCTGGCTGCCACCAACATCCCAGGACACACAGACGGCGCCGGAAGGAAAGAGCCCGAACAAACCGCCTTCCTCGCCGCTCCCGCCTTCTCTGCTCACTGGGTCTTTTCTGTTTTAGCCTTTTCTTGCCACTTGGCAAACAGACCGACCCATGAGACACCGGGGCTCCTGAGAGGGTCCCCCTCTTTGCACACTTGCCCTGTGACTGAAAGGAAAGCAGCCGCACCGCACAGTTCTGCACGTGGCGACTACATGCTCAGAACCAACCCCTGTGGCTTACAGACCGAGAGGCGAGACGAAAGCAGGGCGGCTGGTCAGGGCTGTGCCAGGGGCGGTGCCACGGGAGCTGCCCTGTGAGGAGAACTCCACGCGGGACCTAGTCACAGGGAACCCGCCTGCAGACCACAGCGACAGCTCTGCCTGGACCTAACCCTCCCTCAGCTCCCTGTGCACCTCCTGTGTCTGGAGAGCAAGGGTAACCCTCGGGAACAGCTGGTTTAAAAACCACAATTCTCGCCCTACCTGGGGTGGCTCAGAGGACAGAGTCGGTCTGTGGACCGAAGGGTCCTGGGCTCACCTGGTCAAGGACATGTACCTCGGTTGCAGGCTCGATCCCCGTCCCTAGTTGGGGCACATGTGGGAGGCAACCAATCAATGTGTCTCTCACATCGATGTTTCTCTCTCCCCCGTTTCAGGCTCTCTAAAAAAAAAAACAATGGAAAAATACCCTCGTCCGAGGAGTAACAAAACAAGAAATAAAAATAAAACTAGAAATCACGATTCCCTGAGACATCACATGGCAAAAGCATCATCCAGAAAAGGCTACACGGGATCGCTGTCATCGGCAACTCCAGTCCTAAGTACAAGATGGAACGGGGGGCAGC